AAAAAAAAAAAAAACAATTTAAATTAAAAAAAATCTGATTTATTTTTTTAAAATTTTTTTTATATCAAAAAAATTACGAACCCTGATTGATACACATATAGTCATCTATCTACTTTGCGCAGAACATTAGAATTGAAATTAATTCATTTCATCAACTTCCAAAAGTAAAAAACTTTTTAATTAGTGAATATATCTATAAATCTAGGTCATAATTTTAAAGCTGTCAAGGCAAATAGATTATACCATAAAATAGAAATTTCATGCTAACTACTACATAAGTGCATAACATGTGAAATACTCTACATCTAAGGAACTTAATATATTTTTTGCAATGGCAAATAAAGTACAAAAATGCTTAAAAACTACAGCATTTAATATATATATTACTGTGAATAACTGAAATTGGTGGTTGTTGACTTTCACTGGTGAATGTTGACAATAGTCGCTTTGTTAGATGTCCGAAATAAATCCACAGCCGGAGTGATAACTTTTCACGTTACGTAATCTTCTTACGTAATCACTTTTTACGTTATCACTTTTCGCGCAATCACTTTTTACGCAATCGCTTTTAGCGTAATCACTTTTACGTAATCGCTTTTTACGTAATTACTTTTTGCTTAATCATTTTTTGCGTAATTATTTTTTAAGTAATCATTTTTTCTAGGTTTTTTGTAATAATTTTTTCGCTCTAATTTTTTCGCTCCGCGTGTACCAGAAAATAATTAAAATATTTACGTAATCTTCTTACGTAACGTAATCACTTTTTACGTCAACATTTTGCGTAATCACTTTTTGCTTAATCACTTTTTGCGTAATCATTTTTACACAATCGCTTTTACGCAATCGCTTTTAGCGTAATCATTTTTACGCAATCGCTTTTCGCGTAATACGCAAAAACTTTTTACGTAATCATCTTTTGCGTAATCACTTTTCGCGTAATCACTTTTTACGTAATCGCGAATCATTTTCGCGTAATCACTTTGCACGTAATCGCTTTTCGCGTAATCACTTTTTGCGTAATCACTTTTTACGTAATCAGTTTTACGTAATCGCTTTTAGCGTTATCACTTTTACGGAATCGCTTTTTACGTAATCACTTTTTGCTTAATCACTTTTACTTAATTGCTTTTTGCGTAATCACTTTTACTTAATCATTTTTACGTAATCGCTTTTTGCGCAATTATTTTTTAAGTAATCATTTTTTCTAAGCAGTATCCATCAGTTACTAATTTTCCGCGTACACAAGAAAATTGAATATTTAAAACTTGAACAAAACTTGAAACAGTGCGACTCTATCTGTAATCAGTATGTGTTAATTTTTCTTTCTTTTTTTTAAATTTCAGATTCAAGGAGACTTGGTTTGATTTGGTATTCATCTTTTTCAAATTTTAATAATGCAACGAGGCTTGAAAAAGAAGCAACGTAAGCAACCGTAGAGGTTCTTCGAAGTCTGCCGTAAAAAACAAGCTGAACAAAACCTCCTGCTGCCGAGCTGAGTTGAGTTGTTTCCCTCCTGCTGCAGGGTTGTCATGATTTTTTGAGCAATCATTTTTTGAGTGATCACTTTTCACGCAATCATTTTGCGTAATCCTTTTTTGCTTAATCACTTTTTGCGTAATCGCTTTTTGCGTGATCATTTTTACGTAGTCGCTTTTACGCAATCGCTTTTCGCGTAAACACTTTTCGCGTAAAAACTTTTTACGTAATCGCTTTTAACGTAATCGCTTTTTACGTAATCGCTTTTTGCGTAATCACTTTTTACGTAATCGCGAATCATTTTTCAAAATAAAAATAAATAAAACAGATAGTTTTATTTTCTTCCTTCTATTTGAAAATTTACAATAAAATAAGTGTTCAATACAAGCATATAAGTGTGTTATAAAGCAATCGCTCTATCAGTCTGTTTTAAATATAAAACTCTTTTCCAAACAAAATTCACTATTTTTCAAAAAAAGAGAAATCAAAATGAAGTAACATATAAAGATACAATTATAAAGTTTACTTATTATTAATTGAG